ACTTAAAACAGATTATAGGGGTATAGAATATAGAATATTCAGCATTTGTTCCACTGTCAGAACCACATCAAAGGAATGGTAACAGTGGATCCAACCTATAAATTATACTGGAAAAATTTAACAAAATACCTTCATTCTTCTATTTCCTTTTTTAAATATACTTCTATCATTCCAAGAAACAAACGTACAAAAAAATAGGATTTCCTCTCCTCTTTCAAACTGGAACAAAATTTCCATTCTCTTCTGCAAAAGCATCAATATCCCAAGAATTTTTCTTCCAAACTCTGATCTTGATTAGGAAATCATTAAGAAAAATTAGTAATATGAAACTACCTTTGGAATCCTCCAGGCCTTCTGCTGATTCCTCCTTTGTAGAATGAACATTATCTTTCTGAGAAATTTTCTTCACTTTTACAACTGACATCTCTCCATCACCAGAGCGACTCCGCTTCCTCTTTCCTGATCTAGTTTCTCCTAATCCTGAGTTTTGTGTTTTATCAAGTTTCTTTTTTTCTTTCTTAGAGGAGTGTCGTTGGATTTCTGACAATTCTGTTTCAGAACTTTCTGATATTGTCCTGTGACTTTTTGTGCATTCTGCAGAAATAGCCATATATAAGTCTTTTGCTCCAGTATTTGTTTGCTGGCTGTTTTCCTTTTTTGTTTTAGATTTTTTCTTTTTCTTCTTCTTCTTTTCTTCTATGCAAAACAACAAAAATTACCTCAGTATTCTGAATGAATTACATTTTTGCCCTCTTTGCTTCCAAGGAGAATATAGAAATGTTTATGGCTATCTGCTTCATTTCCTCCCACAATATCTCACAACTCCCCTACCAGAGGAAGATTAAGGAATATAACCGAATCCACAGTCAAAACTGAAAGTATCAAGGTTATACTCACCAACTACAGCAGAATCACTTGTAGGCAATGTGGGAACAGCTTTGTTTTTTACTGTTTTAGGAAACATACCAGGTTTTCTTGGTGCATCTTCTGGTGGGTTATTCAAGAACTTAAAATGCAAAAGCCAGATAACGTAAGACAGCAACTACTAATTAATAATATAACAAAATCACTCCAGGTCATCTTACAAGCATATATATTCATTCTACATGAAATATAATATTACAATTTATTTTTTTGCTGAACACTTTATGGAATATATTGTACTTTCTCATGCTATGAACAATTTAAATGCATTATATTTAAATATCTTTGTAGTGCTAATCCAATTAGATATTTAAACATACAATCTGTGATACAATAATAAAAATTTGCATTAGGCTCAAAAGGGCTAAATTAAGACTGAACGATAGTACTTAAAAACAGTTCAACCAAATTTACCAGCCAGAATAAGCTAGTTAGAGTGCATTTAAAGATATGTTTTATGTAATTATTCCAAGTATTATGATTTAATACCTTAAGTTACTTTGCGGAATAAACCTTACTAAAATTGTGAGACTCATTTTGGATAATATGCAAAGGATTGACAAACAAGTTCAACAGTGTCAGTGACAAGAACTGGAAGCTATTTAACATTATTCATTCAGAAAGTATTTTTTTTTAGAGTTCTAAATCTTTAATGGACACTATTAAGACATTTTCAATATAGTACAATACTTCCCCTCAGATAACAGATTCTGTATTTTCAAGTTCTACTGCATGTACATTGTAACCACTGAAAATCTTCCATTACATTACAAAAGGTTTTTATAAAAACAGTGTTTTTTATAAAAGCTACAATTATATATCTTAAAGTAAATAAATTAGTTAAAAATAAAACAATCTTTTCAGTTGCTTATAACTGACCTCAATAGCTTTTTCTGCTTGTTCTTTTGTTTCAAATTCCACAAACGCAAATCCTTTGGGGTCTTTGGAGGTCTTATAGCGAGGAATGCTGACATAAACTACATTGCCACATTTTCCAAATACCCGTTCAATCCAACTGTGGCTGACATTTTTAGGAAGCAATTCCTATAGCAAAAAAGTAACAGCAGACATAAAGCTACATCTCCATATATGTACACACACAAAACATGCCCACTTGGTATGCACATTTCTGCATGAATCATTATACTAATATTGTGATTAAAGTAGCAATTAAGTGATATGCAAACCCAGAAGTGTCATGAATATGACATTTTGTTTATTACCAATTTTAGCAGAGAAATACTTTCATACACATATATAATATCAAGGACAAATTTATATAATCTTAAGCAATTACCTGAAGAATACAAAACCATACTAAGAAGGTCTGAAAAAGAAGTTACTATGAGACCATTATCCCTTAAAATACTATTAAATGTTTGAAGGAAAGCTCAGTGGTGGCAGCAGTGGCTTATGATTTTTGTATTTCACAAAATAATTAATCTTTTGTCCTATGCATAAAAAAACCCGAATACAAAGTTGGGAATTATCTTTATTAGTTCAACAAAATGCCGTAAAAAAGTATGCAAGCTTACACGTTTTTCCAGAAACTATAATATTTCTAGATGTAGAAGAAAACATTCTACTTCCCCACACTGTCCCATAAATATATACTGATGAACTATTAGTGTGCTTGAATCTATATGAATCTATAACACGTGCTTGGCTAGAGGGTTCTAATTGAAGGTCTGCTAGAATGAGTTGCAGTTTCTCATTCATGAATAGAACTGTGAAAGAGAAAACAAAGCGAAGCAGCAAAAGATCAGAGAAGACAACAGTTGCAGCAAACAGTAACAATTCAGTGGATGAAAATAAGGTAGAAGATTTAAACAAGACCAAAGATTTCACAGAAATCTTTCAAAGTTAAGCCAGATATTTTTCAACACATATGCAACTGCACTAAGGAAGCAACAAGTAAAAGATATTTGTACTAAATTTTCAGTAGTAACATAATGAGTAGAAGGAAAGTTTCAGTTTAAATCTTGAAACTGATTCAAGAAAACTAACTGGGAAATATTTCAGATAAAAACAATTGATTTATTAGGGAAGTGAAGTGGTTTAGTGGGATATACTTGAAAAAAATTAACTAAGTACTGAAGAAACACAAATATCCAATCTGGATGTCCATAATTATGTTTTAGAGAAAATCTAAATATTCAGTTCAATTAAAAATAAGTTCCTGATCTGTGTATCTTGAACATATATTCTAACCCAACTAGTGAGTTGTAAGTGCAAAAATGTACTAGAAAAAATTGCTACAGAAGTGACAAGATAAAAATGACAAAAATATAATTTTATATATTTATATATTTTTACAATTATATAGAATTTAAATCTGCTTTTGGTAAAACACATTTGATGAAACTCTGGGCTTGGTAGGCAAATCTAGCAAAATGTGTACATTATGAAACTATTATTTCCACAGTTAATATTAACTGCAACTTAAGGTTTACATAAGCTAATTAAAGTGACGTTACGATGGCCAAAAGCATTTTTTCACAATTGTGGTAGTGGAAGATGGACCAGACTAATTTCATTCAATGGATGGAATGGTCCTCTATTCCATTCTGACAGGTCAGAGAGAAGGACTTAAGGGAAGGGAAACCCCTCTCCATGAATCCTGCTCCCTCAGACAAACTCTTGTCCAACTACCACTATCTACAGAGAAAAATACAGTCCCCTCAGCACTCAAAAATCGAGGATTTTGAAGCGTCTTGCTTGAAAGGAGAGAGAAGGAAGTGGTAAACACAAGGGTCTCCTGGCTTATCCTGAACCATGTTTACTGTTGTGCTAGAAGAGTGCCAAACATTTTGTGCCACTTAGCTGATACTCACAGTTCTAAATAAGGGCACTCGACAAGTGAAAGATGTTTTACCATGCCCAAAATTCTACTTGTACAAAAACCATCACAATATTTAATTGGCTGTTTCTGAAGAAAGAAAAAGTAAAAGAAAATAGGCAATATCTTACCACGTATACTGTACGACTATCCACATCTTTTGGTTGCTCACCCAAAGGTTGCCGCCTTCTGATCCTAGTTCCTTCTAAATCCAACTGTAAGATATAAAATTAAATTAAAAATCCATTCCACAGTATTTTCTCTTTTTCACCTTACAGAATAGAAACAGAGTTTTCATACTCACTTCTACAACAGATGAACTTTTAACCGCTCGTGCTATCAATTTTCTATCAGTGGTTAATTTTTTCATTTTGTTAAAAGAAACCAGAAGCGATATGTCAACATCTAAAATTAGAAGAATTAAAATCAGGATAGGAGATTGTAACAGGAATTGTGAAAACCTGGGGCACTGATCTTGGGAACTGCTTGTCAGAAGAAATCTTCCATTTTTCTGATTGGACAATGAGGGAAGAGGGAGAAGAAAAGTTGGTTTTAATGAAACATTGAAAAGAGATATTTTAGCGCAGCTGATCAGTGATAAGCCTGGGATCACTATTTGTACTTTAAATAGTCTTTACTGAAACAAAGAAGCAAGATAAATAGCACAAATAATAAAAGTCCTCTCTATTTGGGTTCTGTGACAAAGCCTGTGCTTGAATTAATTCATAATTACTCCACAATTGATTTTAAAGTTTTACTACAACATTCATTACATTTCAGATAACAACTATACATGGTTATAAAGCCGTGTATCTATCAGATGAGCTTCCAGGAAAGAATCCCGTAAAAAGAAATCCACCACCAAGAACACTTGCTACTGATTTGCATGGCACAACTGACAAAGCCTAATATATGAAGAGGTATTCCTTTCTATTATTTGGATGAACTATTTATGATTTTACAGTACAAGCATTTAAATTAGTCAGAAAAGCAACAGATAGCCAGTTGTTGTTTTTATATTTATAAACTAAATATAGTGATACCTGCCAGAACTAACAGCTATCTGTAGTAATACACATGAACTAACAGGAATTATTTTTCCAAGAGCTGCATTTCAGTAATAATGTATTTGATTACTAGTTTAAAAAAAAAAAAACAGACTCACATCCATCTCTAGATTTTTCTATTTGTTCTCGGAGAAATTTGTCTTTGTGAAGATTAACATCGCCAAACCAGAAGTCAACTTGCTTTGCTATATCAGAAAGCACCTGTTTAACTCTAGATCTTTTCTTTTTTTCTCGTTCCTTTCTTTGTTCAGTAGTTTCTTTTTCCATAATTTTGCTTCTTATACTTTCTGTCTCCATTCCTATCACACTGTCATCTGAAAATTAATAAAGCACAATTGTCATTTACAACTTAAATGAATCCACTTTAAACTTACAACATTGCACAATAGTGTTAACTAGCAAAATAATTTAAAGGATTCATCTTTTTCTCAAAAAAATGTATAGAGAGGGAAGCCAAATTGGAGAAAGCTGCTCAGTGGGAAATAAAAGATTAAATTAGCAAATATGAAGTTATTAGTTAACAGAATAGCCTGGAAGGTTTCAGTAGTACTTTGCTATTCCACATTCCTCAGACCAGCACTACAACTGCATTTTATTCTATTTTAAAAACATAGCATTCTGGAAAAACAGTATGGCAATGCACAGCAGAAAATGTATTTGTTTGCATTTATTACAAAACACAAGCAAAGAAAGAATAGCAGTTCTTGTTGTATATACAAGACCCACAAGTACTTGCAACAATATAAATATTTAAACAGCAACTTAACATTTAAAAATAACCAGAGTTAATGGCATAATCCCCAATCGACACCTCGAAATCCTCACTGAACCCATTAACTCAGGCCCAAATAAAATATGAAAGAGAGAATCTTGTGCTACCTGAAGTGTCCGCTTCTGCCATGTGCTTTATCATGACAATTAAAGAATACTAACAGTCTTTTGGACCATAAGGCTATAATAAATCTTATAAATAATAATAACATGTTCTAAGTAAAGAAAAAAAATGCTCTTCGACATCAACAAAATTTTAACCATTACAAAGTATTCCATACAACAATCACTCTCACATCTCTTTGCCAATGAGACAGTAACAGATGCTTCATTTTAGAACCATGTGCTAGAATACATACAAATGTACCTCCTGCTGTTAGATGACCATTCACAATGATTGAGGACAGTGTATTTCCAATTATAACTCCAAGGGAAAATAAGACCACAGTTTCCCGAGAGGGCAAACATGCAACATCGATGCAACCTTTCTTATTAAGGTCTTTTAGTTTTCAATATATGAATACGCAGCTCGCTACATACATTAATGTATAGAATTCACCCTCGAAAAGTCTCTGCCCCCACCATTGTGAAAGTAACTATCCGTCCTGAACGCTTTCAAGAATCCAAAGACAATCAGTAACTGCTGGAAGCAGAATGTTCACTGTTTATCCCAGCTTACTTTGATCCACGAAGGCACTTTCTATTTTTCCGCAAGAAGTTAATGAAAACGCTCAAAAGGACTTTCAAATCACCTAATCAGGCGGGGTTGAAAATCCGGCACGGCCATTTCACAGGGCTTTCAAGTGTCACAAAGCCCTTCTTTGGCTTGGGATGATAAGAGCACGAACTTTCCCTGCTACCCCAAATCAGCCTGAAAAGCGGGGAGATGAGAAGCTGCCCGTCGCCGTCGCCTCCTCCCGCACAAGGACAGGGCGGAGGTGTGAAGAACCCAAAGAAGCTGCAGCGCCCTACCTCCAATGGGGGATCCCCAGAACTGGGCGGCGGCAGATCCTTAGGCTCTGCAGCCGGCGGAGATTTCTTGACTGCGAGTGATGGGACCTGCAGCCCAAAGTACCCGGAGGACAAGTGGGGCGTGCCAGCTCTAAACCTATGAATCGCACCAGCTCAGCGGGTGTCGAACCAAGCCCTATACATCACCCCGAGCGGTTCAGCGGAAAGACAGACCGCAGATTGCCTTTATACTCGACCCACCGTTCACTGCAGCCAGCCAAGCGAAAGAGGGCGGGCCCCACAGCACGCGCGCCTACAGATAACGTCAGCAGCCCAACGATCTCGACAGTTAAACGGGCTCCGCCCCCCACCCAACACGCGACGTGCCGATGCGGTCCTTTGGTTCAGGTTCGCCATGCGCAAAGGAGGGGAAGGGGTTAAGTCCCCCACCACTGCTTCGTACCATGTGCTCTCGAACGGGCCTGACGCCAAGAACCAAGGCGAGGGGTTCAGAGCAAGGTCATACTCAAAGCTGCTGGAACCCTTAACTCTCCCCCCCCGCCCCGTCAATAACGTACTGTAGTATTAAATGCTCGCGCGACACGCGGGAGACCCCACTCTTCCTGGATCTTATTGGCTGACTGAAAGGTCAGCGAGGCTCGTTCTGCGCAGGCGCACACAAGAGTCCTTATAAAGGAGGTGCGACGAAGGTTCTCCTGGAATCCCATTATGGATCCCAGAGAGATAGTAAGTTTGAGCGTGACTGTTTAGAACAATGTTTTTCAAACTTGGTAACTTTAAGAGGTGTGAACTTCAACTCCCAGAATTCCCCAGCCAACATGTTTGGGGAATTCTGGGAATTGAAGCCCACACCTCTTAAAGTTACCAAGTTTGAAAAACACTGGTTTAAGAAACTCGATAACAACGAAGACGGCTTTTGGCGTCAATAATTCCAGAGCTACACTGTTCTATCTTTATGCCACCTCGTACTACTATTAAAACGATAGGAACTCTAGCTTGCACCGTATAACTGGAAATTGGGATAGAATACCAGTCAAAAAGTTCAGAGAAAGCAGTATTTTTATTACCACATAGGTGAAAAATGCGTAGGATCTTATCTGACAGCGCAAGAGAGTTCAGTCTCACTGAATTGGCTGATCTTGGAAACGATGCAAAGCTGACCCAATTAGGACTTGGATGGGGGTGGGGGGGGGGATTTCAACGCTTTCACTAGGCAGGGAAATCTGGAAAAAAATCAGAAAAAGGCAGTGGCAAACGACGTGCACCAGGACTTGGCCTTGACTTTACGCTAAATTCAGCAGGGCTCCTTCCTGATAGATGTGATAGATGTGCAGCACTCGCCTCCTTCCGTCCTTATCAACTTCATGATTAAAAAAACCCTCCAATACCCTTTGTGCTGGAAGCTACTTTAATGTCCATCCGGGAGTCGGAAATTATGATGGTGCAGCCTTTTCGTCTCTATGGTATTTGTCGCATCTCGGAGACGTCATCGCGCCTGTGGAGCGGGAAATTTTGCAAGGTAAGACTCTCGTGAGAGGGGATGAGGGGCGTCTGTGCCGTCCCTCATCCATGTGACCCTGTTATTTGTGAACGAGTCGGGTCGGCAACGTTATCAAGCTTATAGGAAGCCTTTTGCCAACCTGACTGAGGACTGCGATATATTGATCCGTCAGCTGTGATATGTAATCAGTTTTATACTCGTACTTTTTTAGGGATGGTGTAACTTCAGATTTGGGTGCCGTTTCTTTTCCTTATCCTCTAATGCAAAAGAGAGTGACCGGATACATCCAGTTTCATATCTTCTTACCGCTGCAGAGTTCAAAGCTATGATAACTTCGTATAGCATATTTTAAGGCAGGGGCAGGCAATATATGGTCCCCAGAGCCCCACCCAGGTGCACTGCTGAATTTCATTCCAGTAATTGCTGAAAATCAACAGCGCAGTTTCTTGTTGTGTGATAGGAAACCCATAAACATTGTAATATAGGTCCTAAAATAGGCTTAAGATTATTTTGTTTAAAAAGCCCCCTCCCCGCAGCCTAAAGAAATGGAAATTCTATGCTTTATACAGTATGTCATAGCTATGCCCACGTTGAGTCTGAGCCTCATCCCCACTCTACCTAAAGAAATTCAACGTGCAAAGGGTTGCTACCAGAATCTTGCCTGTTTCTCAGGGATTTAATCTATGTAATCCAGTTCTTGCATAGAAGCATTTTGCAGAGGAACAGCCATAAATCAATCTTAAGTCCATGGAAGAAAAGGATAGAAATGTAATGAATAAGAAATAATTGTATTATAATTTAACTTCATATAATTTGTTGATAAGAATGAAGGGCAGGATGAAAATGTGATTAATACATTAAAACAGGGAGCAACATTATCTGGCATGTTTAGAGTTAAGGATAAAATTAAAAATAGGTTGGCAATAATGATTAGAATTGTAAATATATGATGTGTCTTTAGCAAGTCTGATATGCAGTAATTATGTGTACCAAGTTAGTGATGACCCTTAGCTACCACATAGGTAGACCTTCTCCAGGATGATCTCTCCTAACTTGGCCCTTCAGGTCTCCCAGTGGTTCACTATTGCTGCTGTAACCAGGTTCATTCTCCTTTCTTCCACCTTTCCCAGAATCATGGACTTCTCAAGGGAGTTGGGTCTTTGCATAATGTGTCCAAAATATGATAATTTGAGCCCGGTCATGAAAACTCTGGATTAATTTGTTTGTGATTCTTTAAATAATCAGTTAGCTTGATCATAAATCTCATTATTACATCATTACAGTCCAAAAGTTTTTCAGAGAAAGATTTAAGTGAGACATCTTGTGGTTGTTACATGGAATTGAATATATTGGGGAAATGTATTAGAATTATTAAAATTATTAAAATCAACAAAATTCAAAACAATATTTTTCAAAACCTGAGAATAAATTGCTGATTAAGGGATATCATGTAGCTAAGACTACATTCCTGTAGAGATTTATTTGTATCCATTTAAAGCAAGATTTGCTTCTAAAGAAATGCTTATGGTAATATACTGCTTGTTACAATTTAAAAAACATTTGCTCTAGAATAATTTCCATTGAAACTGTGATTTCTAGATGTATATTTGTTATACTGTATTGTAAATAACCCTCTGAACTTCAAAAAATTCATATTTCTGTTAAGGGGCTTTAGAAAGGAAACAATATAAAATGAAATTTAGAAACTATAGTAAATATTTAACTTTGACTTTCAGAGATGAAGTTGTTTTAACAGGATTTTTCCCTCCCCAGGTGGTGTGATGGTTGGAAGTGAAAGCAGGTGGTATGATCTTAGTATGCCCAAATAATGGCTTATCAGGAATTTATTGTGAGTCTATAATCTTTTTGATTAATATCAACAATATTTCATACATTAAAACATATCATGAAATAAAAAATATAAACAAGATTCTGAAATAGTAATCAAGAGTATATTTTCACATATCAATATAGGTTTTATACACACATCAGAAGACTAAAAAATCAAAAGTATGGCAAGATGGAATTTTGAAGGCCACATTTGGAGGAAATAAGGTAAATTTGTATGTTCAGTTTGGTGTTACGGTGTCAGCAGTTTTATATCGATTTGATTACCTAATGAAATATCAGTCATCTGTTTTATTTTTTCTGTTTAATACAGGCAACCTTATTTGATGACAAAGGACAGCTCTTGGATAGTATTTTCATAAAGTTTCAGGTATGTGCTTTGTTTTTATTTGTTTGGTAATTTTAGAATATCAGTTGCTTGTTCAATTTCATTAAAATATTCTCTGTTGATATAACCTAACCACATTTGGCCAAAGTCCTACTTAGTATATTACCTACAGACATACATACATAACTTTCTTGTTATTCCCTTTCAAGGTAAACAACTTTATGCAAAGTTCAGAAAAAAGATGTTTGAAACAAAAGAAATTAAAGACATGATATAGGATAAAAGCAAAATAAATCTAACTAAATCTAGTTCACATCAACACCATTCACATCAACACCATTTATATCTCCATACCTCTTTATCTTTGAAAACCATCTTTGCTTTCACCACATTGTATACTATTTTTTGTTCTTTACAATTCTCACTTCTCTCTGAGGATCTACAGGTGAAACTCGAAAAATTAGAATATCGTGCAAATGTTCATTTATGTCAGTAAG